CTTATGATATTACTCCCTATCACCTCTCTGCTTAAAAACTCTTCAAGCTTATATTTAATAGTGATCAAAATCACAGGAACTGCATGTTTGAAATATGCCTTTTCTTTAACCATAAACATGACAAACTTTTGCCAAAAATACTGAAAAAGCCCCTGTCTTTTAGTTGATCTTTTTTCAACTTGATGGAAGAACTTTTCCAGATTTGTTTTTTTATGTAGGTGTTTGTTTTACTGTGGTCCTGTAATCAGCCTGGTTTTCCCCTAATTTTCAAGTAATTAGTCCACAGTGCAGATTTGGCTGCTTCTAGTGTACATATGGATAGTGATATTAAGGAAATAATTAGGTGATGAGTAGTTCATATACAGGAGCCAGAATGTAGTAAATTTAATCTAGATGCACTCGGGAAGGTAACATGGGTGAAACTAAAGAGGCACGAGATACAAGAACAAACCTCCACTGGGAGCTGAAAAGGGCAAGAGCCCTTGGGTACCTCGTGGGAGAACATTTCAAACGAAGCTTCCACTTCCCTTCATCTCTGAACTGAGCTGAACTGACGTTCGAAAAAACCTTTCAAGGAGTCACGAAAATAAAGTTCGCAGGTCCCTGGGATACTAGGAATCACAAGCACAAAGGGGTGTGATAAAGAACCTGTTTTCTTGCTTTCCTATAAACAGGGTTTTATTACCTCATCATCTCTGTTAATCATGCTACAAATCTGCAAGTGCCAGTTAACTTCCTGGCCCCTTCTGGTCTATCTGGTTAGCAATGTATAGGCCAATTTAAACCCATTATCTCCATGTAGTATTTAAGCTTTAAAGATTGTGGATTCTATTTCAGATTTGAAGGAGTGCTTCTGTGCCTAAAAGCTTACTTTTTACAACTCTGGCATTTAGTTTAATGAAGGTGTTGCCATTTCTTCCGTAGCTGAGAGAAAAGGTCCTTCCAGGACTTAGGTAATCTGTCCTATCCTAAAATGAGTCTAAGCAATGCAAAAAGGGAGATTATCCCTCTCAGCTAACGTTAGAAAGAGCGTAGGTGGTGAGAAATGGCCAATGTTTTAAAAGATAAAGTTAGGTAAGGTGAATCCTGGGCTAACCATGGGCAAAGCTGATTTTTGGCACGTTATCTGTGTCTGGGTTCTTTTCGTGGTTGTTCTTCCAGACCCTGTTTGGAGCTGCGCTTCCTAGACATCATATATAGAAGTCTTTGGGGAAAGATACTGTGTGTGTAATAGTACTAACAATATATAAATGACATCTCTGTTTCCAGGGGCAAGGATGATGCAGGGGAGTGAAGGTGTCCAGCACCACCCTGCCAGCAACCTGGGATGAGGCTGTTGCTCAGCCTAACTAAGGCAATTTGTAAGGCTGGGGGTTACAAGAACTTGTGTTAGGAGAACTGGCTCCCTGTAGGGCAGGGTTGTTGTTGCCATGCTGCAGAGCAGTACTTCAGTTTTTGTGGTGCCTGGCAGCTGGGATGTGACTCTTGCTCAGATATGGAGGCGATGTCTTGGTCTCCCGGCCTTTCGCTTAGGTCAGAAGTTGGATTAAGGCAGTGCTCCTTCCTAGGGATAGTCTTGAGGTCTGACAGGTTTAGCTGGTACTGAATTCAGCTGCCTGTCCTTGATGTTGTTATTACTACTCTCAGCAGCTTGTATGGGCTTCTGAATGAAGTGGAAAAGCACAAGTATCTCACCAATAAGCCCTGACTCTAGAAACTCTCTAACTGCATGGGCTGACTTGCATGGGAGAGTGGTACTTACTTGTTGAAATCAATGGGATTTAAATACAAACATGTGCAAGTGAGATACGTTGATTACTGTATTCAGGCTTCTTTTTAGATGGGGGAAACAAAATAACTGCTATCGAGAGATTCTTAGGAGGCATCTGGCATGTTTTATCGTTCACTTAATGTCAGAAACACTTGTTTACATAGATGTCAATCAAGTTAAACTGTCATGCATTGTAGTTGTACCCTGGCATTTGTGCATTGAAAAATATAATGAACGTCTGCTGAAGAAATTGGTGAAGGAAACCTCATTTTCACAGCTTTTGCTATATGTGGCATACAGGTATGGACACACTTGAGACATTTGAACTGTCTGCTCTATTTATTGTACATACCAATGTCTCTTTGATGAATTACTATGAGGTGATTTTGAAATGTGCCTTGAAATATGCCTTAAGTAATTAGTGCATAACAAGTTAGAATAATTGATTGTATCTGAGGCAAACCAGGAGATGTGAATAGTGATAAATGTGAATCACCATATGAGTGTTTGCCATGGACAAATAATACAAAATTCATACTCTCAGCACATACGTGTTGATGCAGCTTTATTTCAGTTTGAAGTTATCCCACTTATATCCGCAGAGACTCTGGCATTTGTTCTTGGCATAAAACTGCAGCTAATAGAATCCAGTTGCTTGACACACGTAGATCATTTTATGGTGAATTTAAATGGTGAGAGTTAGCTTCCACTACAAATCATAAGTTCCGTATCATTTTACTGCTTTATGATGTGAAATTTTTTGTTAGTGTTGAAACTCTGTAAGAAGGCTGCACTGAAATTGGGTTTTGGCGTAACCCAGCATACACTCGTTATGCAATGCATTGGCTAAAATTAAACTGGTTGACTATGAGTAGAAGACTATCTTGTAGAACCAGGAACCAGCAAGATGTCCTGATCCCTGCATAAGGAATGAAACTCAGCTGTTGCTGTTACTGTGGCCAGTTCTAATATCAGCACTCAAAAAACAAGCAAACAAAAAAAAAGGGATAGGTTTAAAAAAGAGCCAGAATGTAATTATGGGAAAGTTTGGGAAGTCTAGCAGTGAAAGGCAACAGAAGTTATGCAGGTTATCACAAAACCAAAGGTAGTGCTGACGTGGGAGTGCTTTATTTGGGCTTTCAGTATGGAGCCAGGGTTAGAAGAACACCGTAATAGAAGGTTTGTTGAATGTAGTAGACTATGCATAGCAAAACTAGCTGATAGCAGATACTTCAGATTAGAAGTAAAGCACTGCAGGGGTAATTGAATGTTGGAGAGATATATGTAATGATTTGGTTGCTTTTCTAATACTTCAGGTGTGTACCTCAAAAGCATATTCTGACTGAGACAGAAGTTATGGGTTTGATGCAGAAATCTGAGTTTGTGGCCTGTGTCAGGCATGAGATCTGACTGAGTAGTTATAATAATGGCTTTGAATTTAAATATGTTAATCTGGTCAAATTTATGATGGTTTTAATGCTTAACTTTCAAGGATGTTCTTCCTGCTG